TACGTTCTCTATTGTCGGAACGAACGGTGAGCTCTACAACCTTGCTAACGCTTTGTCTGCTGGTTCATAGGCAAGGCGTGGCTCTGGAATTCCAACCTCGACACTCCCATGTGTTTTAGGAACCAATCGTTGTAGTGCGAAGACTCTATGGGGGTCGCGAGCCTAAGTGTCTTTTCTCCTTCAGGCCCTTTCAATCTTCATTCTCTCAGGCTTCTGAGTGGCAAGAGTGTGTGTTGCCTTTCATCTGGTGCTTCATCGTCTCTATGTTAGCCGCCATTCTTCTTATTACTTTGTCTTACTCCCTTACGCGATCTTCGAGAACCTGAGGATCCATCTTCCGCCTCTGTCTATCAGGGCTTTGAGAGTGGTGTGGACTTGAGCCCTGTCTTTCTCTTGCTTCTCTCTGCGGATTCCTTTGCTAGGGATCTAATTCTGCCATGGGTGGGATAGAAGGTAAACCTTCGCGCCTTCCACCCCCTTCCGGTGTTTGCTCATCAATAGCAGATTGCGGCAAGTCTTCATTGTGTGCCATTGCTTTCAACTAGAGAGGAAAACTTGATCAAGAGGTTTTTCTCTTTATGAAATTCCCACAGACGGCGCCAATTGTACGAGCATGAAATAATCCTTCTCGTATGATCCTGTTGATCAAGTTTTCACTCTTCCAAACAACGTTGCTTTGCCACCTAAAAACACAAACGTGAGCTAACCGGCGGGTGTGTGCCGGAAACCCCTCCGATGCCTAAGTCAGCAATTAGACAATAGACAATAAGCTCTGTGTATTCTGGGGTAAGAATTGGGATACATGTCCATAGGTCTGGTCATGAGCTTTTATAGACTTTACTTTGGCACAATCCTATTAGGATTCCAACTCTCTCTATGAGAGTCCTCTTAGGAATCACACACACCCTACTACTACCAACCAAGTGAGATGGTTTTGCACAATCTTAGTAGGACTCTACTCTTCTTAGCAAAGTCCTCCTAGGAGTCATATTCCTACTTACTGCCAACCAAGTAAGATAGTTTGCACAATCCCAGTAGGACTCTAACTCTCCTTAGCAGAGTCCTACTAGGAGTCTCATCACTGCAAGCCAAGTGAGATGGCTGAACCCTTTACCTCGTTTATACATTTCTGACCGAACTACCTTATCTCGGTCCCCTGCCATTTGGACCGTGTGATCGAAAGCCGATCTATCGAATGCCACCCTACCGAGCTATAAACAGCTCGGCCCTCGCCATTGATGTTACCTCGGTTTGCTACAGAACTTTCTGTACTTCGGCTGTCATCTTTACCTCGGCTGACATTGCGGTCAACCAGATTATTTTGGCTCGGTGATACTTTAAGCACCACTACTAGTCTTGACTCTGAGATGACGCCCTGCAGAGCTATCTTTTAGCTCGGTTCTCTCCCCACTGATACCTCGGTTTTGTCTGTTTAGACCGAGCTAACTGTAGCAGTCTCTGACCGAACTAACAAGGACGAGGTCCAACTTGCGAAGCCCAAACACCTTGGCCCATAGTTCAGCCCAAATCCGTAATATGAGATGTCTTCTTGGCCTAAGACCGAGCTACACCAGCCCTTATCTCGGTCCATTGCGCGGTCCAACTTCCAAAGAAAACTTTCCTAGCTCGGTCCAATTTGCTTACAAATTACCCTCTCAGTCACGAAACTTGAACTACTAGGAAATAGGTGCAAAAATGTACATCAAGCTAACATCCAAGATTATATAAATAATTTTACATTTAACTGATATTTTCATCCTCAATGATTGGTGACAGTTATTTTTTTTTTCATATAATTTTTTCAATAGTAACTGCATATTTTGGACAATTTGTTTGTGCCCTTGAAAGAGAAGTAATCAACCAAATGATTCAACTAAATTAACTATATCAATTAAATCAACTAAATTAACTAAATCAATTGAATATCATTGTTAGTGTAATGTTAGTGTAATATTAGTGTGCAATATCTAGTGTAATATTAGTGTGCAATATCTAGCTGTCCAACTGTCCCACTAATGATAATGTTTCTGCTTTCGGTGTGTGTTAATTAGTATCCTATGTGTATCATCTTTCCTCTCTATAAATGAGAGTGTTGTAAATCATATCAATACAATAATATTCATCAATACAATTTATTCTCTCCTTCTCTCCCTATCAATTTATCTAATATGGTATCAGAGTAAGGTTAAGAACTTAAGTATTTTTCGCTTCACCGGCGGACGGCAACCTCGCCTTGGCCGCCCGCCGGACCTTAACCTAGTCCGCTAGAATTTTCTACACATACCTTCACTCTTCTTCACCACCTCGCCAAAGCAAACCCAAAATCCCTCTGGGACATTTCGTCGAACACCATGTCTGCAACAATGATGGTCATGACACACACACAGAGATGAGGCTGCTAACCCACAACATGCTATCATCCAACATCAAGGGGGTCACCAATAGCTTCCCTCTCCGAATCGAAGTCATCTTCCTCGTCATCAATTTCCGGCGGCCACGGCCGGCAGCGATCCGGGTCTGGACGCTCTCACCCTCGGAGATCCGACAAGGGATGGTAATCCCACCCGGGTGATCAAACCCGTATTCCTCCACAAGTCCCATCACAATGTCGTCATGGCTGACTCCTCACCGGTGACCAACTCAACCACTCTGATCACCGCAAATAACCACCACAACAGAAACCGCAGATGCATCGCGCCGCTGCCACCAGTGCGCCACCGTCATCTTCTCCACACGCAGCTTCATCTCCGTCGCTCTGTCTTCTTCTTCTTCTTCGTCTGCTGGTGTTCCGTTGTCATTCCACTCATAGATTGTTCACAATTGTAATGCATTCTACACTGAATGCTTGGAGATGAACATAGAGCAAAACATGAAACCAATCTTTTTCTTCTCTCTCTCGGTGCATGGGGGGAGGAGATGAACATGGGGCAAAAAAAAAAAAAAAACACAGAGAACTCTCTCTCCCTCGGCTATCTTGCAGCATCACCACCTCTGCACCGAGCCACCACCACTGCCCCTCCTCTCACTGCTGTCCTGAAATAATTCTTCTCGTATGATCCTGTTGATCAAGTTTGCACTCCTCCAAACAACGTTGCTTTGCCACCTGAAAACACAAATGTGAGCTAACCGGCGGGTGTGTGCCGGAAACCCCTCCGATGCCTAAGGCAGCAATTAGACAATAGACAATAAGTTCTGTGTATTATGGGGTAAGAATTGGAATACATGTCCATAGGTCTGGTCATGAGCTTTTATAGACTTTACTTTGGCACAATCCTAGTAGGATTCCAACTCTCTCTATGAGAGTTCTCTTAGGAATCACATACCCTACTCACTACCAACCAAGTGAGATGGTTTTGCACAATCCTAGTAGGACTCTACTCTTTTTAGCAAAGTCCTCCTATGAGTCATACTCCTACTTACTACCAACCAAGTAAGATGGTTTTCACAATCCCAGTAGGACTCTAACTCTCCTTAGCAGAGTCCTACTAGAAGTCTCATCACTGCAAGTCAAGTGAGATGGCTGAATCCTTTACCTCGGTTATACATTTCTGACCGAACTGCCTTATCTCGGTCCCCTGTCATTCGGACCGTGTGATCGAAAGCCGATCTATCGAATGCCACCCTGCCGAGCTATAAACAGCTCGGCCCTCGCCATTGATGTTACCTCGGTTTCTGTACTTCGGCTGTCATCTTTACCTCGACTGACATTGCGGTCAACCAGGTTATTTCGGCTCGGTGATACTTTAAGCACTACTATTAGTCTTGACTCTGAGATGACGCCCTGCAGAACTATCCTTTAGCTCGGTTCTCCCCCCACTTATACCTCGGTTTTGTCTGTTTAGACCGAGTTAACTGCAGCAGTCTCTGACCGAACTAACAAGGACGAGGTCCAACTTGCAAAGCCCAAACATCTCGGCCCATAGTTCGGCCCAAATCCGTAATATGAGATGTCTTCTTGGCCTAAGACCGAGCTACACCAGTCCTTATCTCGGCCCATTGCGCGGCCCAACTTCCAAAGAAGACTTTCCTAGCTCGGCCTAATTTGCTTACAAATTACCCTCTCAGTCACGAAACTTGAACTACTAGGAAATAGGTGCAAAAATGTAAATCAAGCTAACATCCAAGATTATATAAATAATTTTACATTTAATTGATATTTTCATCCTCAATGATTAGTGACAGTTATTTTTTTTTTCATATAATCTTTTCCACCAAGGATCCTCTAGAGTGTTTTTTTTCCTAAAGTTTTCTAAAGTGGTGTATTGTGTGGTTGAAATTTAATGTTAAAAAATTAATGTGACTTGTCATTAAATCTCAACCACACAATGCACCACTTTAAGAAAATTTAGGAAAAAAATACTCTAGAGGATCCTTGCTCAATTTTTTCAACATTAGCTGCATTATTTGGACAATTTGTTTGTGCCCTTGAAAGAGAAGTAATCAACCAAATGATTCAGCTAAATTAACTATATCAATTAAATCAACTAAATTAACTAAATCAATTGAATATCATCAACTAAATCAACTATATCAAGTCCAATTTAATCAAACATTGTCCCTGAATAGCATCTTGTTTTACTGTAAATAGCCAACTCTTAACGACTGCTGGTGAGAATGTTTGGTATGCTTTTAATAATATTTCTAAAATTTAATTTGACAAAAATAAACATAAAAAAAAAAAAAAAAACAATTTAAATTTTTTTAAAATTGTTTTTGACTCAAAAAAGGCAAAATCATATCAAAATGTGAGTGTTTTTATTATTTTTCTTATTTTTACTAAACTAGTTTCTAGTTTTTTTTAATTAAAAAAAAAAGAATATATTTTGAAAATTCAATAAAAAAAAATTACTTCTTTAGATTACAAGTTTTATCTTTTGTGTTCTCGCTCTTCTTCTTTTTTAATCATAGTCCGGGACTACAAAAACCCCGACTCGATGCACATATAGTCCCCTATCTCACACATACCAGGTAATTGCCGAATTATGGCTATAATAAGGGGGAAAAAAAACTATATATCAAACAATTCATTTACAAATTGCAAATTTAAAGCAATTACATGATGTAAACTTGCAAATAGCCCAAATAACAAAATTGAAAGAGATTAACTTTGACAGTCTCAGATTACAGCCTTCTAAAGTGATTAAAAAAAAAATTCAATGCCAAAAAGAATGAGCCACCAACATTTATGAAGAATTCAACAGAGAAATAAGGCTAATGAAGTAATCTTCACTGCAAGGGATTGTCAGACCTCCCATTGGATGATGAAATCCGAACTCTTCCTCGGCCCAATGTAACAAATCTTGGAACAAAGAATGGTTCAAATAAGATATCGGTATGACAAACCGTTTAACATAATTTTCTCCAACATAAACTGCAAGGTGACCTTTTGGAACATCAGAGGTAGCAGAAACTGTTCCATTCCTTGGTGAAAGAGTACGTTGGAGTGTCTTTTTAGCATGCGCTATGGAGATTGATCGGATACCCATCTTTGGAAAAAAAAATATGACTGCCAAACAGACCTTTGAGTGTTGTTAAAATGGAAGGAAAGTAGTATTACTATGTTGTTAGTTGAAGAGGAAAACTTGGTTGAAATGGTGTGTGTAATGCTTGAGTATATATAGAGATTAGAGATAGAGACACTTCAATGTCTTAAAATGAAAAGAATAGTTGAGGAGAACTGTGACGAATACGGAAAGTTAACAGACATACCTAGTGAAAGAATTGGTAGAGGATCACATGGTTTTGCCTTATTTGTTTAGGACATAGTGTCCTACCACTTTGGGGTACCAACAAAGGGAAAATGCAACTTGGGAAGCTTTACATAGATCAGTTCTGCTATGAATACATAAATCAATCACACAATTATAGAATAAACATGAAATGCACAAGATTTTACATGGTTTGCTAGTAGGGTCCACTTTTTAACAAGTTTATATGTTCATATATTTTGTGTCTGATTCTGTGACCGGTTTCTGTGTTCGTAAACTTATACAGATGTGGATAATCACACACACCTTGCTTTAAACTACCATATAACACTAAAGTCTTTGATGCCCAATATGTTGTTTAGACCAATGACCCTTCTCAATCAAGTTGGATTTTAAGATTCATATGCATTGTTTAGAGGAGCATTGAATTTAGACTTTGTGTTAGTCAGTGGCATTTTCTGTGCCAACTTACCAGCCAACTTTAGTAGGTCATTGTGGTGACACTAGGTCCCAACCACACTTTTCAAAATAAAGCCTTGGGCTCTCATGTTGATTAACTTATAGATCAATTCAATCTTGGATTAACTTCTTGATTTGGGCTCCTAAGTCTTGTCAGGGCTAATTAACCCAAAGACAAACGACAATTAATGAGATTATCCCGTTAGGGGGAGTCCTGTATCTCACTAGAAAGTTAGGGATTCGACTTTTTTCACCTATGTGTGGGTTTTTTCCCTTGTATCTGTTTGTGAATCTTTCTTGTGTGATTGTTGGATTTTGGGATTCGTTTTATGTTTGTCGTGTTTTTTTATCCATCAAGGTGAATCTTTCAGGTGATTCTCTTATGTGATTGTTAGATTTTAAGGTTGTTTTATGTTTTCTGTTTTCTTTTATCCATCTATGTCTTTCTTTTCAAAATAAAAACTTTGGCCTCTCATGTTAGATTAATTTTTCGATCAGTCTTTGATTAACTTCTTGACTCGGTCTCCTAAGATTTATAAGGGCTAACTATGGCAAAGACACTGTGATTAATTTTGGTCATGCTCAAACTTAGGACAAAAAGACATGCCAGGACATTCAAGGTTTGTTTATTAGAGGAGAAGATATTTATGTTCTAATTCTATTATACATTTTGTAATCTAATTCTTCCACTTGACTCAGTCTTAGCTAGTAGTACTAGTACCATTGGTATGCAAGATTTTAAAGATTGGGTCTGCTGAAACATGTTGCAACACTTGCTTGTATAATAAAGACATGATAATTTGGAAGGTCATTTTGGATAAGGAAACCTTAAGATATAAAGGACCAGAAGGCCTCATTAGATTGTGTTTGGATTTTAGATTTTTGGAGGAATTTATGAAAAATACTATTGTTCCAGAATCTTCAATTACCACCAGAATGACATGGCAGTTTTGAAATGGTAGGCCCACAACTCATCATATCATTCTATATAAATTTTCTGTTTGTATATCATATTCATTACCCCAATGTTGAAAGACAAACCCTTGAAGACATTTGTCATTTAAAACTAAGTGACCAATAAAAAAATGTTACATTGGTCATTTGGGAGCACTTGCTGCATTCCAATTTCCACTTACCAAGCCACTATGCTGCCATTACATGATCCCTTTGTACTCAGACTTGGGCTTCCTACACTTCAACTCATCTTTCCCTAAATTATCAAAATTAAAATTTAAAAAAAAAAAAAATAAATTTGTACCTATATATTTTTTCTTCTTCTCTTTTTTAAATTTTCTTACCGGCATACCCATAAGTTACCTGTACCAGTATCCTTGCTTCACAGGTTACTGGCAATCATTTAAAATATTTGAATTGACCTTTATCCAATTCAAGCCTTACTGGTTGTGGTGCCCTAGCTTAATTGGGATTAAGAAGTTATCATCATAGACAACAACATATATCAGGCAGGTGTAGATGGGTCTACTGAACCAACCATCCTTCCCCAATTCAGGCCAAGCTCTCACATCATCACCGGTTCACACTTGTATATGTCAAGGAACATTGTCACGTGAGCAGCTCAACTGTGCAATCCCATGTCTGGTGTTGCCATAACACAGTCAACACCAGTTTCATTTGTGTCTACTTGACCACAATTTCTCAACAAAATCTAGACAGCAACATATGGCTTGCGTAACGAATAATTTAGATGTATTTTGTAAATAAGTCCCTACTATTTAGTATTTGATCCATTTGGTTAGTCGGATATGTGTTCTGATAATCAACTGGACACTTAGATCAGACAATTTTAAGCAGGCCTAATTTGCTTCAGAGCCACAAACATCAAATGGTGTGTTTGTTGTAAGGCATATCCATGTGGTACCTAATGTCATACGGCCTTCAAGGGACCAGGCTGCACTAGTCTTTTCACCACACACTCCATTTGACAACGCTAGCCATATAGAATTTACTCTATATATATATTCTATTCCAAATTCATGATATTGCTGAGTACAAAGGCAAAACCATGTGATCCTTCATGTGCTAGTGTCCATCAGTAGATCCCATTCTAGTGTCCCTTCACCATCCATTGCAGATCTCAAGAGGGCTTTCCACATAACTTTGATCTATATATAAGCACATCAGCAAGTCCAAAGACAACGCAATCTTCTTATTCTTCACTGGCAATTGTGCTAGTCCTTCATTCCTTTTTCTTCTTGTTGAGGAATAAATATCCCCAATTCAAAGCAATGGCTATTCGTACGCCTCATAAAATTCATGCTAAACAAGTCCTTCGACGGTCTTTATCATTGAAAGCAAACCAAGCAGCTTCATCAGCAGTAGATGTTCCCAAGGGTCATTTTGCAGTTTATGTTGGAGAGAGTGAAAAGAAGCGATTTGTAATTCCGATATCATACTTGAGCCAGCCTTCATTCCTAGACTTGTTAAATCAAGCTGAGGAAGAATTTGGATTTGATCATCCAATGGGCGGTCTCACCATTCCCTGCGGAGAAGACATCTTCGTTGTTCTCACTTCTCAATTGGGTCAATCATGACTCATGATACAGAAAAACTGGCTACCATATTGTAGCTAGACAAAACATTTTTGTAAAGCAGTAATTATAGTTTCTATGTACAAATATTCTTTCCTTTCCTTTCATCCATTGAGGAAGAGAAATGTCATTAGAATATTATGAATTGACATTAATGGAATTCTTTCACATTTAAAGGCAAAAGCTTCATTGCATTGATGTTTTTGTTTCTATAGATTCTTTAATGTCTGAATTTCCATTTTCTCAGTTTAATTCTATCAGCAACACAAAGTATATACAATTTAGTAACTAATGGTGAATTATGCTGTGTAAAACTGTCTTTTTGAGGATATCTGCATTTCTAATATATGAAAGAGTCCTCCTTAATAGAAACCCCTGCATTTTTGGCGGTGTTTTGTTGGCCTCAGAACTTGGTTCATGTGGAGGCTTACAGCCAAATCAAGATCCTCAACATTTGCTTGTATTATAAAGACATGATAATTTGCAAGGTCTTTTTGAATAATGAAAATCAAGGTCCTTAAAATGTAAAGGATCATAAAGGCTTTTTAGGTTGTGTTCAGTTCTTGAATTTGTGAAGGGCAACAAAAAAATGGAGGGGAAAAGTGAATGAACTAAAGCTAATTTTTTTCACTTTTCCATTCCTTTTTCCTTTCTCTCCACAAATCCAATATCCAAACATGGCATTAGTGTGTCTCTCAATGTTAAAACTTAAACCCTTGAAGACATTTTCCCTTTAAATCTGAGTAACCAATCAAAAATGTTAAATATGTCTTTAGGGAGCACTTGCTACATTCAAATTTCCACCTACCAAGCCACTATGCTGCCACTAAATGATACCTTTGCACTCAGACTTAAGGCTCCTACACTTTTTAACTTTTTATCCTTCCTCTAATTTTCACAAATGAAAAATAAAAAATTAACATTGTACCTCTATCCTATTTTTTAGAAGTTTTACTTTTCTGGCATACTTATTGTGTACATGTACCAACATCCGTACCCATATCCTTGCTTCATAGGTTATTGCCAATCATTTAAAATATTTGAATTGACCTTTATCCAATTTAAGCCTTACTGGTTTTGATGTCCTGGCACAATTGGGATTACGAGAACAATATCATAGACAACAGCATATATCAGGTTTGGTGTGGTGTTTCTACTCAACCTACCCTCCCTTCCCCAATTCAGGCCAAGCTAACTTCATCACCAGTTCTTATCACATATGTCAAGGAACACTGTCACATGGTCATCTCAACTGTGGAATCCCATATCTGGTGTTGCCATAACACAGTCAACACCAGTTGCATTCATGTTTACTTGACCACAATTTCTCAACAGAATTTGTAAGACAGCCACATATGGCTTGCGTAACGAACGCTATGTATTTGATCCAATCCATAATCCATTTGGTCAATTGGATATATGTTTCGATCATCAACATGACACTAGACAAATGATTCTAAGCAGGCCAAATTTGCTGCAGAGTCAAAAACCATCACATAATATTTTTGTAGGGAGGCATATCCATGTGGTACCCCTTGTCATATGGCCTTCAAGGGACCACTATGCAATAGTCTCTTCACCACACACTCCATTTGAGAATGCTAGCCATATAGAAGTTGCTCTATATATATTCTATTCCCACAATCTTGCTCTACACAAGTCTTAGAGATCAATTACTTGCTAAGATCACTCTTCCAATTTAAAAAAAAAAAAAAAACTCAACCTAGAAATCATGTGTATCCGATTGCCAGGGGTTCCTCAAGCGAAACAAGTTATCAGAAGTGTTCTTTCTGCTCCAATGGCATGAGATGTACCCAAAGGCCACCTTGCCGTTTATGTTGGAGAAACCAAGAAGAAGCGGTATGTTGTTCCGATATCATATTTGAAGCATCCTTCATTCCAGAGTTTGCTGAGATGGGCTGAAGAAGAATTTGGGTATGATCATCCAATGGGTGGTCTTACAATCCCATGTAAAGAAGAGACATTCATTGACATCACTTGCAGGTTGAATTGAACATAAGCAAGGAGTGCAAAGATGACAAAATGCTAGCCCACAGCAGACATAGACTCTAACATCATTGACCCGGACTTTTTTTTTTTGGATTCACACCATTTTGAATTAGAATAGTAAGAAAAAGTGTTTCTTGTGAAATAAATGTAAACATGTTTGTAACACATGGACTTGTTAAGCTTCTTCAGTTAAATGAAAAAAACAAAGAAAAACAATACAAAAAACAAAAACTTATATGCTTCTACCACGTAACTGTGATCAATGTATATACATACATATATATTTTTTGTGAACTATAATTGTGATCGAGATTGTTCCTCCATTTTCAACATATACCACATTCCTTCAACAATACCCCTTTTGAAAAATTCAATTGAGGTGGGTTGCAATGACCACTACACTACCAATAGGTGATCATGCTATAAGTCAAGGTCATTCTTTGTCTCCAGCTAACATAACTCTGGATTCACTAGTTTTCGTGCTCAAGGCGGACTTGCCGTCTCGGGGAGATAGAATCACGAAATGCACCTGCGCTTTGGCGATTTGGGGTTCTTGGGAGTGTACTTGTTTGTAATGGGGCGCATTCCACTGCTTAGAAAATGAATTTTTTTTGTGTCAACAAATCTTTGGGTTCTCACAGTTCAATGTTCTCAACTACCACTGTTCTATTCTGATGCTTAATACAAATATTTTTGGCATGCTTTATGAGAGAGAGAGAGAGAGAGAGAGAGAGAGAGAAGAGAAGAGAAGAGAAGATTTAGATAAATTTCAAAGGGGTTCTCTGTAGGTTGTGACCCTGAAGTTGTAGGACACAATGTTTTCTACAAAATACTTGTTACAATTTATTAGTCTCTGTCACTCTAAATTCTTAACGAAGAGTCGAATGACAAAATCATGTGATCCTTCATGTTCTAATGTCCCCAACTATGCACCATCCAAATGCTTCTTTACCAATCATTCCACATTTCAAAGGACTAATTTCCACATACCCATTAGATTGGATCTGTGATTCTATATGTAAACATTTAAGTCTGTCTGTGACTGACTAAAAGTCTTCACGTACCCAATTCTCAAACCTTTTTTTATCTTTATTAGTTCTTCAACTGATTTTCACGGTGAAAATATGACATTTTGTATTCCAGTTTCATACTTGAACCAGCCTTCACTTCAAGCTTTGCTAAGGCAAGCTGAGGATGAATATGGATTTGATCATCCAATGGGTGGTCTTGGTACATTTTTATCTTCAATTTTTTTTTTTTTTTTTTAGGAAGAGCAATAATTTTTTTTTTTTTAGAAAAAGGCTTGATATCATTTGGGTTCACTGGTCCTAAAAAAGTATACTTTTAGGACCAATGAATCATTTCACAGGTCACCAATCCACAGGAGAGTTGCTTATTTGTTGATTACAGCTTGAATAGGGGTCATAACAGACATGATTTCTCCCAACATGACAATTTTACCCTCTTCCCTCCAACCATACTCTTCTGTAAAATGCAAATGTTCAATCATCATATCAATTTATTGTGAAAGCTGATATTAACCTCCTAGAGAGGCTTCCCTAATGACAGCATCAAAATCCACAAGAAGTTCTTCAGCTTTCACAATAAATTGATATGATGATTGAACATTTGCATTTTAGAGAAGAGTATGATTGGAGGGAAGAGGGTAAAATTGTCATTTTGGGAGAAATCATGTCTGTTAGGCTTTAGCCCTGTTTAGTTGTGGTAGGTCCTGGGGTATGCCCCTTGGAATCCTGTAACTTTTCTTGTTTTAATTTATGACTTATTCACCCAAAAGAAAAAAAAAAAAAAAAGTGTATATGCTTCTCTATAGTGATTGGTTCTCTACTTTGATTGCCTTCCAGTGGAATTGTTAGTCTTAATTCTCCAACAAATACCAAAAAGCACGGACACGGATGCAGACATGTAACACAGTGATTTCAAAAAAATGGAGACTCGGACATGGACACAGACATAGACACGGACACGGCACGGACACGGCAATATGTTGTCATATATTTTTATTTGCTATCTAGATTAATGTTCTTTCTACAAACAATCAATATTAACAAAAAACTAACTCTAATTCTGTATTTAAAATTTAAAAAAAAAAAAAAAACTTTTAAATTAACACTCACAGGTAATAACTTTTTTATGGATGATCTATTAAGTATTTAAATTTAAGAAAAAAAATAATAAACATTCAACATTTATCAAAAATATTGAATAAAATGGGGGAAAAGACAACTTGGCATGTCTCTAGTGTGTCCCCAAAGTGTCTCCCGTGTGTCCCCTGAAAATAAATTAATTAAATAAGGGACACGCCATGTGGTGTGTCCCATACATGTCCCCAAAGTGTCTGTGTGCCCGAGATGGATACGGCACTTGTTTTGAAGTGTCGGTGCTTCATACAACCTATATATAATCTTTTGGTCAAAATTCCATAGTTTAACATATGCATTTTGCAAATTCAATATCAATCCCTCATCCATTGCCTAGCTTCTCTACACAAGCGTACTGCGAGAGTGTGTCCAACAAAAGAATTTCATCGAATCTCTATGAGTCATCATGGGTTAGGCAATGACTATTGATACAGTTCTTTAATTGCTAAAACAACTGTGACCTACATGATATTCCAAATCAGTGGAATGCTTGTATTTACCAAATTCAACACTACAGAATCCATACAAACAGAAATTATAATGCACTGAAGCTTTTTACTTTTAGTGTAAGAGAACTCCATTAATGTTTTGGTGAAATGTATTTATAATATTCTGATGACATTTCTCTCTTCCTTTTCAATGGCTGAATTGTTTGTGTTAACAAGAAATGGAAAAGAAAGAAAATTTGTGCATAGAAATGGTGATTAATGCTTTGTTACAAAATTGTGTTAGCTAGCTACAACATGCTAGCCTGTTCTCTGTATTATGAATCATGATCGACCCAATTGAGAAGTGAGATCAATGAAGATGTCTTCTTTGCAGGGAATGGTGAGATCACCCATTGGATGATCAAATCCAAATTCTTCCTCCGCTTGGCTTAACAAGTCTTGGAATGAAGGGTTGTTCAAGTATGATATTGGAATTACAAATCACTTCTTTTCTCTCTCTCCAACATATACAGCAAAATGGCCCTTGGGAACATCTACAGCTGATGATGAAGCTGCTTCGTTTGCTTTCAATGATAAAGGCTGTCGAAGGACTAGTTTAGCATGAATTATGAGAGGCATGCGAATAGCCATTGCTTTCAATGGATATAAAGGAATTGAAGAACAAATGAAAGCTTTGACAGTGAAGAATGTGAAGCTTGTGTTGGTTGTATAGGCTCACTGGTATATGAGTATATATATACGGATCAAAAGTGGGTGGGAAATCTTATGAAATCTGGAATGAGTGGTGAAGGGACATTAGAATATTGGGGTCTACTGAGAGACATTCGCACATGAAGGGGTCACATGGTTTTGCCAAACTACAAAGGCCCACCTGTTGAACTTCTTGTATTTGAGGAGTGTCAGCTCATTTATGACATGTAGCAACTGACAAGTTACATCAAAGACTACTTGGTTCAACAAAAAATGTGGATCAGATATCTTGAATGCATTGCAACAACCATAGAAAACCTGTCTGCAAGTTAAACTAACAAGAACTGAAACAGTTGTTGGCTCACATGACAATGCTGGTTAAGAAATATAGGTAAGAAGTTGGTGGTGTTAAGTCAAAACCAAGCTCAAGATTAGTTAACTTAGCTGCATGTTACAATGTCCCTTGACACAATCAAGCAAGAAGAGGCAAAGATCATAACTTGGACCAGGATTTGGAAGGATGATAGGTAGCATAGAAGCTCTAATCTAGTCAGTCATATGATGTTGTTCTATGACGCTAATATTTTTTTACATATATTACCCAAAATAAAAAATTAGTGAGCTATATATTGGGTAAAAGGTGAAATCTGAACTTCAGGAACCCTGTGCCTGCATATATAACATTTTCTTGGAACACAAAGAAATGGAATTATAATTTTTTTCTAACAAGTGATGCCTCAGAGATATTCAATGAAATACCCTTGTCCCCAAAATGAATTTGTATTATGCAGAGGTTAGGCCATGGAATAGGAATAAGGCTGATTAATTTAGTAAAATGTGTTATCTTAAACTATGGAATTTTTTTTGAGTTTGATTGTCAGTAAACCATGGTATATGCGCTTCCCATTCTGTTGTGAATTGGGTATGATTTCTGATGTGAAGAAGTACTACTGTGTCTGCATCTTGAGCGATTTCAGCAACGAAGGAGGGAATAGGAATTTCAAAGATTTGCTCGGGTTGTAGGGAGACAAGTCCATGAAGGTGCTTCTGCAGCTTTCATGATAGTAGTCTCATACGAGTATCCAAATTGTAACACAAGAAACTTTATTTGTCAGAGCCAAATTGGGGTCTAGATGATACCAGCATAAAACAATTTCACATGTTAGGTTGATTCCGTGCTTCCATTCAATCCAGCATCCTCAGTTTAGGCCCAAACTCTGATTATCACCATTTCTATCTATTCTTTAAGAAACATTGTCATAAGAACTGATAACTCATATGTTCTGCTTGCTACTGTTGACAGCAGATAGTGGAGCTGATAACTCATATCTTCAGGTGGTCCTGTGTTGTTTTTGTTCCTTATATGATTGGCCATATAAAAATTACAACAGAAACAACAACATAGAAACAATCAAAATCATTTAATTTACCAGCTAGGCTATGTTACCCGTAGTGGTAGGGTTTGATGTTTTCCAACTAACATACATACAGATGGAGTTGATCTTTCGCTCTAAATACATATATGGATGAGTACGAAGGCAAACCCATGTGCTCCTTCATGTTCTAGTGTCTCCCAGTAGACCCCACTCTACTGTTCTTCACCACTTATTCCAGATGTCAATAGGGTTTCCCACATAACTATGATCTATATATAAGCATATCAGCAAGTCTAAAGCAAACACACAAGCTTCACATTTTTCACCAGCAAAGCTTTCACTTGTTGTGCAAGTCCTCCATTCATTTTTCTTCTTGTTGAGGAAGATATACCCAATTCAAAACAATGGCTATTCGTATGCCTCATATAATTCATGCTAAACAAGTCCTTCGACGGTCTTTATCACCGAAAGCAAACCAAGCAGCCTCAGCAGCAGTTGATGTTCCCAAGGGTCATTTTGCAGTTTATGTTGGAGAGAGCGAAAAGAAGAGATTTGTAATTCCGATATCATACTTAAACCAACCTTCATTCCAAGACTTGTTAAGTCAAGCTGAGGAAGAATTTGGATTTGATCATCCAATGGGTGGTCTCACCATTCCCTGCAGAGAAGACGTCTTCATTAATCTCACTTCTCGATTGGGTAGATCATGATTCATGATAGAACAAGTGCTAAGATATGTCAGCAAACACAATTTGTAAAGCAGTAATTATGATTTCTATGTACAAATTTTCTTTCTTTTCCTTTCATCCATTGAGGACGAGAGAAAATGTCATCGGAATGTTACGAAGACATTAATGGAATTCTCCCACATTTAAATGCAAAAGCTTCATTTCATTGATATTTTTGTTTCTATAGATTTTGTGATGTTTGCATGCTCATTTTCTCAGCTTAATTCTATCAGCAACATAGAGTATACCTGATTTGGTATCAAATGACTAATGGTGAATTATGTGAGGAGATGCTTGCCACTCTGATGTCCAGAGATTCCTGATGTGCAAAACTGCACCTTTTTGAACAACAAAAATCAAGATTCTGAATATGTAAAGGATCATATTAGAGACTATCAACGCAATCAGCAGTTTGACTGGAAGATCTCACCCAAATTTGCAATTCAATTCTGGAGATTTCTTTCCTTTCTTGTAGCTTAAATCTTGCTTCTGTTATGTTTAATTTTGGGATTGTTTGCTCCAATTTTGGGATTCCCTAGCTGTATAGAAAAGTCCATCTTCATTGTACCAGAATATCTATATATACAGATTAATGCAAAGTTCTCTCAATATGAAGAGAGAAAGCCGTTAAACAATTCTATGTTATCTTCCATATTTTTTCTAGGGTTGTTTTCACCTATTTTCGTAAATTTCCTATCGACAAGTGGACCAATTGAGTGATGACTGACACGTGGCAATGTCAGAGTGAAAGTCTTCCATTGATTAGAGGGACTGGTGGCATGAAGAAGGCGATCCTGTGCATGAAGTGGTAGAAATAATCTTGGAGCAGTTACCAACCAGTTTGTGGCTTAGTGGGTTGGTTTGTAGGAGATGATGCTTGTAACTAGGGGCTTATTCTCTGTCGATGAGGTTCTTAGAGTGATGAGGGGCATGTGGCAGCATGGTGAAGAGTTGGTTCGACAAGAAGAGTTGAAGGTTTGGTGAGGTTTAAAGGCTTGGAAGTAAGGAGGTAGTTACAATAGCAAGTTTGAAGGAGTCATGTGATCATGGGCCAAAGAAAGAGAAAGAAGATATAAAAGCCAAGAATTTTTTAGGATTAAGGCACGCCAGAAATCAAACACACACAGAAAGGAGACACATAATATTTACGTGGTTCGGCAATTGCCTACGTCCAAGGGGAGAGATTTTTCTATAGAATTTCTCGGAAGGAGTTTACAACACTCACACCTCACTCTCTCTGTAGCACTCTCACTCACGGATACATACACTCTGTGTTTTCTTCTCTTCCTCGCAGCCTCTATTTATACATAAAAAAGAGGGAACAAAGTCAAGTGAAGGGAGTTATTAGGTTGGCTTCACCTGCCATCTCCCTCCTACTTCTTGACTTGGAGAGCCAACCCTCATACACACCTCCATGTGATGGGCTGGAGCTAACAATTCTCTCCCTCCACGCCTAACTGACTTCTTACTTGAAGTTCATCCCAGTCAGATTCTTGCAAACTTCCAGTTTGTCTCTAGTGACAACCTTGGTCATCATGTCAGAAGGATTCTTGTCCATGTGAATCTTCACCAGCTTCATCAGCTTCTTTTCCATCACTTCTCGTATCCAATGATACCAGACATCAATGTGCTTTGTACGTGAATGGTACATGAAATTCTTGCTCAAATCAATTGCATTCTGACTATCACAATGTATCTTGTACTCTTCTTGTTGTAGACCCAATTCTTGAAAAAACCGCTTTAACCACAACATTTCCTTTCCAGCATCTACAGCAACAATGTACTTTGCTTCTATTGTAGATAAAGCAACACACTTTTGTAGTTTGGACTTCCATGAAATAGCTCCTCCTGCAAAGGTGAACATAAATCTTGATATAGACTTTCTACCATCAAGATCACTTGTCATATCGGCATCTGTAAAACCCTCCAAAATTGGTTCAGCTTCCCCGTAACGTAAGCACATCTTTGAAGTTCCCTTTTAAGTACCGAAGAATCCATTTGACCACCTCTCAATGCTCCTTTCGTGTCTAATCGATTCCGGGTCGATTATTCCCTTGTTTTGTCTTGTTTTGCCACCGACGGTCTATTAACGGGTGGGTTTGTTTTGTTAGGAATGTCATCACCTCATGTATTATGTAGATGTTATTAAACATCCCAAGAAGATTTGAAAGGCCAAGATTTGATTGATGAACTTGATTCATCCCATGTTTTGAACAAGCTATGATATATGTATTGTTTTGACAAGGACCTCAGGAATCATTCATTTAAACCTTTATTATTTATACCATTCACTGAGTATCCAAGCTCACCCTCCCTATGTATATATGTAGGTAGCAAGCAAGAAGTCGGCTACGCCAAGATGTGTGTTTTGCATGTATGTTATGTCGGCAGTGAGGATGTCGGCAATCTTGAAGATGATGCTTCTTAGTTGTATTTCATGTAATTTGTATATGTCGGCTTGAGAAGCCTTTTAGTCAAGATGTAAAATGTAATTTATTTTGCTTATATTCAAGTTGTAAAGCTATGCAAGGATGTATGCCATTTCATTTGATCTACGCACTGCTCTTATGGACCACTTATATTATAAATTATTGCTTCCGCACTTGTTAGCCCCATATGTAATACTCAGATTGTGTGTGAATTTTTGAAAGTTAGCCTTCGATAATCTCGGATTACTGGCCATCACGGCACCATTCTACTAGGGGCGGAATGGGGTCGTGACAAAAGTCAAGTGAAGGGAGTTATTAGGTTGGCTTCACCTGCCATCTCCCTCCTACTTCTGGACTTGGAGAGCCAACCCTCATAAACACCTCCATGTGATGGGCTGGAGCTAACAATTCTCCCCCTCCACGCCCAACTGACTTCTTAATTGAAGTTCATCCCGGTCAGATTCTTGCAAACTTCCAGTTTGTCTCTGGTGACAACCTTGGTCATCATGTCAGAAGGATTCTTGTCCATGTAAATCTTCACCAGCTTCATCAGCTTCTTTTCCATCACTTCTCGTATCCAATGATACCAGACATCAATGTGCTTTATACGTGAATGGTACATGAAATTCTTGCTCAAATCAATTGCACTCTGACTATCACAATGTATCTTGTACTCTTCTTGTTGTAAACCCAATTCTTGAAAAAACCGTTTTAACCACAACATTTCCTTTCCAGCATCTACGGCAACAATGTACTCTGCTTCTATTGTAGATAAAGCAACACACTTTTGTAGTTTGGACTTCCATGAAATAGCTCTTCCTGCAAAGGTGAACATAAATCTTGATGTAGAATTTCTACCATCAAGATCACTTGTCATATCGGCATCTGTAAAACCCTCCAAAATTGGTTCAGCTTCCCCGTAACATAAGCACATCTTTGAAGTTCCCTTTAAGTACCGAAGAATCCATTTGACCACCTCTCAATGCTCATTTCGTGGATTGGCAAGGAATCTGCTCACAGCGCCAACTGCGTGAGTTATATCTGACCTGGTACACATCATAGCATACATCAAACTTCCTACTGCAGAAGAATAAGGGATTGCCTCAATTTCTTTCCTTTCAGAGTTGGTCGTGGGACACGAACGCTATGTCACTTTGAAATGGTTGGCCAGTGGTGTGCTGACTAGCTTGGCATCTTTCATGTTGAACCTTTCAATCACCCGTTCAACATATTTCTCTTGTGACAGCCATATCTTCTTGGCTTTCCTATCACGAACAATCTTCATACTCAAAATCTGCTGTGCTAGGCCTAAATTCTTCATGCCAAAATACTGCGACAAGTCCTTTTTTAACTTGTTGATCATAATAATATCATGTCTGATGGTCAGCATATCATCAACATACAACAATAAGATGATGAAGTTTCTATCCGAAAACCTTCGGAAACATACACACCGGTCTACTACCATTCTTGTGTACTCGTGATCCACCATGAATGAATCAAACTTCTTGTACCATTGTCTCGGTGCCTGCTTTAGGCCATAGAGACTCTTCTTCAGTTTGCAGACTAGATTATGTTTCCCTTTAACTTCAAATCCTTTTGGTTTCTCCATGTAGATTTCTTTCTCCAAATCACCATGGAGAAAGGCAGTCTTGACATCCATCTGTTCTACCTCTAGATTCAAGTGAGCTACTAATCCCAGTGCTACTCAAATGGAAGTCATCTTCACAACTGGGGAGAAGATCTCATCAAAATCAATTTCCTTCTTCTGCCTAAAACCTTTGACCACCAAGCGAGCTTTATGCTGCAATAGTTGACCGGTGCCATCTTTCTTCAATTTATACACCCATTTGTTCTTCAAGGCTCTCCTGCCTCTTGGAAGTAGAACAAGCTCATAAGTGTGGTTCTTCTGCAAAGAACTCATCTCCTCCTTCATGGCTTGCATCCAATAGTCTTTCTCTATATGACACTTTGCTTCCGAAAAACTCTTAGGCTCCCCTTCATCAGTAATCAGAATATACTGAGAAGCGGGATATTTGGTTGATGGCACAACAGCTCTTCCAAATCTCCGCAACTGAGGCCCAGTTGCCTTTGGTTAAAGGGTTTACTCCCCCTGCTCAACACCCTCTTCATTCAGTTCTTCATCTCTTTTCTCCTGATCCTCTATTTCTGGCATAGGATCTTGCAACTCTGGCACTTCTTGTTGCACATCATCACATCTAGCATTTTGTGATGGCTAGAGAGATGGTAACAAGTCTGGAGTGATGACATCTCTAGACTTTGCAAACTTCTCAAAATCTGCTACTGTTTGGTCTTCTTGGAACACAACATCTCTGCTCCTGAACATCTTCATGTTCACTGGGTCCCATAGCATACATCAAACTTCCTACTGCAGAAGAATAAGGGATTGCCTCAATTTCTTTCCTTTCAGAGTTGGTCGTGGGACACGAACGCTATGTCACTTTGAAATGGTTGGCCAGTGGTGTGCTGACTAGCTTGGCATCTTTCATGTTGAACCTTTCAATCACCCGTTCAACATATTTCTCTTGTGACAGCCATATCTTCTTGGCTTTCCTATCACGAACAATCTTCATGCCCAAAATCTGCTATGCTAGGCCTAAATTCTTCATGTCAAAATACTACGACAAGTCCTTTTTTAACTTGTTGATCATAATAATATCATATCTGATGGTCAGCATATCATCAACATATAACAATAGGATGATGAAGTTTCTATCCGAAA